ATTAATTCAATTCAACACAAAACACGTTCCAATCAGGAGACCTTGGGCAGCTCAAAACCACATATAAGCACCACAGGGTCACTCTTCGGAATGGATGTTTTTTATAGTCTGCAGCAAAAATATAACATTTTCTTTTTCAGTCACGTGTCACTGCTCTGCCGGGCTATGCTCAGAACGCTGCTTCGCCAGGCACTTTGCGTGCCACACAAGCAGCGAGCAGTTGGCCCTGGAGCATTCAGCACTCATCGCAGGCACAGGAAAATAGACCACGATTGTAATCTTCAAACGCCGCAATTAAAACGAAATAATGTACTTCATGTGTTGCTCCAAGGCCGATACTGTCTTGTGCTATCTTGTAAGAAGAAGAACCTAAGAAAAAAAGAACAAATACAAACTTCGTACATTACTCTTTTATGGAATAAATTGAAGCCGATGTGTTCTGTGTCATTTCTGAGAATGGCACGCAGGTCACCCTTGCAAAAGAGGCAATGTTTCAAGTCCCTCAATGGGTTTATTTAATCTCACGATTTAATACATGGCACTGACTGACTGGTATTTCTTACACAACATACGGGATTTGGTTTCAATGACAACGTCTCATGAATTTGGTTATGTTTATTTCCCCCTCCCCATTTCTGATTTTATTGCACCATTTATATTTTCACCATTATCAACTCTAGTGACCACTGACGTTACGAGATATATATGTCAGAGTTAAACTATTTCTCTGATATAGCAGTGTTTATGCGAGGGTATTTTTCACCTTTGCCATCAGATTGCTTTGTAGACTGAAGATAAGGAAATATAAACTACGGGAGTAAAATAATGCTGTGGAGGGGTAAACTATCTCTGATCCTGAATGAAACATTCGCTTTACACTTTTACAAACTTTTTGAATCCCTGAAGTAATTTGGTGAATTCGTTGCAACTAAGGAAATGCTGACGCAGCATGTGAGCATTAAAAATGCATTCAGTCTGGATGAAATCAAGAAGCAGTTGGGGATTTCAAAATGATAGCTGCTCTGGAAAAGTGGGCAATATCAAAGTGCTGCACAAGATTGTGATTGCCTTGGAGCAGAACCTGTAACTAAGTTCAGGTTGTGTGATTACAAGGAATGCAGAGCTGCATTCACCATAGGCAGTAATTTCGCCATTAAAACATAATACACAAAGAGAAAGTGACTCAGAGGAGTGAGAAAACTATTAAACTATATTTTTTTACTAGGTAAGGCGCACTGAGATGTATAGCTGTTTTTAAGAACGATTTGGTCACAAATTATAACCCAATGAAGTGGCTTATGTGGAAATGTATAGCAGCCAAGAGGAACCATAGACAAGCAGGAAGGCAGCCACGTGTTGAGCTGCTGCCAACAATTGTACATGTGCTAAGGTGTTATTAGCCAATTAGGGAGCGTTTGCATGTGGGAGGAAACTGGAACACCCGAAGAAACCCCACGCGTATGAGGGGGAAACACTCTATCCCATACGGATGAAACAGGTGGAGTCCACATTTTAGCTGTACACCTGGATTGCATTTTTCTAGCGAGCCAGGGTTTAGCACCTCGACGCGCACGGGGAGGGAGTTTCACAACATTTGTGCGATCCCCCCAACCCTCACTGCAGCGCAGGATTACGCCGTGCACTTCCAACAGCGAGGTCCTGATTGCTAAAGCGGCAAATAAATAATTGACCTCCATTGTATTGTAGCCTGCAGGGGGGCAGAAATTTCAAATGTGGCGGTAACTGCACCCCAACTCTCCGCTGGGTGTGAGAAATGAGGTCAAGCATAAAGTGAGTTTTCCATCCTCACTAACAAACGATTCTCAAGAGCCACATTTGCCCACCTAGAAGACGAGAGATAACGAAGCTGCCGTGCGAGTTGTGAGGTTCTGCATAGAGCTCGAAAGATTGAACTGTTGGGGAATTTGAAAGATAAATACCGTGCTCGTAGTCACAAAACACATGCTTGCAACCTGATCGCCGTTTGCCTCGTGCTGATGCCAATGAAGCTCGGCAGAAAAAAAATATATTCCATCTCTTTGTGTGGCTAGAGAGGAGAAATGCCAGGATGTGCAATATTTATGCAGTTGTTGATTCTAATTTGTAGCAATATTCGTCATGCTACACTCGTGGGATAGCGGTTTCTGAGCTCCCTATGCATCTGTCGGAATGTGTAAGTGTGAATGCCACAGCACGTTTTCCACTTTAAGTGCACCGACTGCGGGTTAACTAGCAAGTGTTCAAGCTGTCTTGGAGATGGCATCTTACCGAATCAAATTCATCGTGACTTAAGACGAATTTCTTCTTCACGAATTGTATCAAACTAATTTTACAGGTACATTTTCCTGTAAATTAAATTTCTGACAAATCAGCGTAGAATGCTTTGCGAATAGCCTGAGAGCTTACGTGTAATTGTCCAACTTGGAGGCACCTATATCAATTATTGAAGCAATTTTGCTTTTGCAAAGTTATATTTGTGTAATTATTAACATACTCGTATACTGCATATTTATTTTCACTCGGATTAAATTAACATTTAATTATTTCTAGTAGCACAAAGTCAGACTTCATTGGTTTTTAAAGTAGGTTATTTTCCGATTTTTCTTAATAGTTTTTGCATTTATGTATGCACAAAGATCCCCATGTAGCTTTGTCAGGCTGTTGGGGCAAATGCTGTTAGCGAGCGCTTATTCAGGCCGGCATAGCACGCAAGGGGGCTGGGTGGCCAGCACCACGCCTTTGTCTCCCCAGTGTTGATGTTTAAGCAATGCACCAGGTACTGATTGTATGCATATATGCATAGTTCACCAATGCATATATGTATACAAAGACAATATCACCTATATAGCATTTCAGGATATTGTAAAGACTGAGTCCACCAATGGGATGACTAGGACCAGTTCAGATATTCACCAATGATGTGGGACATTGAACCCATGTCTACAGGTTCATAGCGCAATGTCTTTAATCACTGCGCCACGCAAAGACAAAGATCTCCTGTGTAGCCTAAACAGACTTTTGGGACAAGTGCTGTTTTAGCAAGCACCGATGAAGGCCGGCACGGCACGAGGGGGTGGATGGTCAGCACCACGCCTGGCTGCCTTTGTCTCCATAGTGACGAAGATTACACACTGCACCGGGTACTCATTTGAAGCTAAGTTGATCTAGGGGAGGCACAGGACTGGTTCAGATCATCGCTATCACTAGTATTGGCCTTGAGTGGGAATCAAACTCGGATCGCCGGATTCGTAGCGCAGTGCGCTAACCACTGCACCATACACACAAACACACGTAACATACTTTGTCCATCATATTTGCAATGAGTTATTAAATATAACAGTGTTATGGATTAGAGGCTTTGCCATCCACGAGACAGAAACCTGTCCCCTCTGGCTGTACGACAGGGCTGTCTCCAAATCAAATGGCTCGTTACCTGCCGAATAACCAGTTAATTGCAGTTTGATGAATACAGACCAAGTGCACACTTGCATGAACCTACGGTAAATGGATCCATCTTATATGAGCAATACCTTGCAGCTTGCCTAAATGAAACACAATGTTAAGGCATTCTGCTTCGTTTAACAATACAGCTTGAAAATGTTTTTCACCAGACTTTGAGAAATTACTTGTATTAATCTTACCACCAATACGAGTGTAAAAACCATGTATAATATAATTAGTTTATGATTTGATACGTTATGCAAGTTTCATATGCTGGAAATGTGTACTTGGGTATAAACGATATTAACCACAGACCATTTGCTTGGGTACTTCATGTGCCTTGACTTTTTTCAATTTTAAACGTCATTTTGCATTAAAAAATTATGTTATAAACGTTTCAGCACTGGCTTATCTTATTTTGAAACTGCTTTGTGAAATTAAAGAATTGCTGTTTCTCCTGTATCGTGACGTTTCCAGTTTGGTGGGAGAATTTGTTTTTCTGTTGTAGGAATATAGTAATATTACGGTTGTCAAACAATGTAATGCACACCATTTATAAATGCATTGCTTACCCACCCAGTGGTACCCTGCCTCATTTATATCTTGCATATATTTTCATATCTTATCAAATTGTTCGTGACTTGAAATTCCTAATCATACGTTCTTAGTCCAGCATTCTCTTTAAAAATGAAGAGCTATGTGGATTTAGTCATAATTATTTGATTAAACTAAACTTTAAATTTTACTAGGTAAGGCCTACTAAGCTATATAGCTCATTTTTCAGAAGCGACCTGGCCACAAATTATAGGTCAACGAAGTGGCTTATCACGTGCAAATGTATAACAGCCAAATACTTTGAACGCATGTTGATTTTAAATACGGAGGGAAAACCCAGAGGGCCCGGAGACAAATCTGCGCAACCACGGGGAGAACGTGCAGACTCCACATATACAGGCGTCAGGCTTGAGATCGAAATCACGACTTGTATACCAGGCGAGGTCATTAACATCTCGCCATCGTGGCACCCCATTATTTTAACAAGAGAATCAGGAAGACCGCGTTCCTCGGTGAGCCATTCATTTGACAGCGGCATTGTTTCGTCGGCAATGAATCTCTATTTCCGTACATTGTGATTCATATATGAATGTGCCTCCGAAGATTATGACTTAACAATTTGCGGCTCTCGCATATGCATGCTTGAACCACAGAAATAATTTCAATGTTGCATTCGCGCTGTAAAGAGCAAAAAATAATGAAGCTAATGTAATTCCATCAGAGCAACAAAAAGTACAAATATCATAATTAATTAGAAAACACGTGGTGTATGTGCATTGTAAATTGAGGCAAGTTAAATATTTGCTTCCTATTATTCATACTGTTTGCCGCATAAAACATGATTGTCATTAATCTTCCTCTGCACGGTGCAGTGATCACAGCCAACTCAGCTTGGGTGGGTGGGGTTGGTGGTGGGGATCAGGCTAACCTTGAACCTACTGGGTCAAGCTCACGGGTGAGTCTGCAAGTTAACCTGCATGCCACCTGCCCTGTCACTCTCTCAGACGAGGTACCACTGGAGCCGGAGGTCGCTGGGCTGAACTGGCGAGGGTTCGGCGGCTGCCTCTCCCGAGTGCAGTACAACGGCTGGGCGCCGCTCAAGGCCGCCCTGCGCCAGGGACCGCACTCCTCACTTGTCGTCACGGTGATGGGTCGCCTCGTCCCTTCCAGCTGTGCGGCCGTGCCTCAGACGGTCGCTCCGGTGTCCCCGAGCACGCCTTACCCGTGGGCACACCAGCATGGTGAGGCATGGGCAGGCAGTATCATCAACTCGTTGAAGCGGAAAGTTACCAAAACGAACCTCGGAAAGTCGCTGGATATATCGAAAAACATCGAGACATCGTAAACGGATTCGGGATCCTTAACACTGACCTGGAATCGCTCCCAATAACGTCCTCATCCCAGAATGTCACGAGATTTGTCGCTGGTCGCTGTGACAGCCACAAGTTGTGAGCTCTAGGGATAGAATAGCTATGTTGGCAATACTGGGCAAGAGTCGTTATACTTTGTACATGTGCTTGGTTTATGTGTGCACGTGTTTATCAGAGGTGCAGTGGTTTGCGTGCTGCACTATCAGAGTCAGAATATTTATATTGGAGGAATCTGATGAACTATGAAGCTCTTTTTCACAGATGTCCAGTACCTATGAACCCGGAGACCTGAGTTCGATTCTTGGCCAAGAATAACATCGGTGACAAATATCTGAACCGATCTTGGACCTCCCTTAGGTAGACTCAGCCCTTAATGAGCACCTGGTGCAGTGTTTAAACATCAGCATTGGGGAGACAAAGACGGCCAGGTATGGTGCTGGCCTCATGTGCTGTGCGGGCCTTAATAGGAGCTCGCGAACAAAACTTGCCTCAACAGTCTGTTCAAGGCTATTTGGGGGATTCATACTTTTTGGGTCTTTCGGTAAAGTCACGTAAATAGAAAATAATAGATCACGACGTTTCGATCGCAACAGAAGCAATCGTCTTCAGGTGAGAGGGAGAGAAAGCTGCTGAGACAAGGTCTTATATAGGCCTGAGATGGGTGCATCAAGGTAGGTGGGTGATGATAGCCAGTAGGTTTGCAGAGTACCTTCGTCTTGGAAAAATCAATATCGTGTGAGCCCACAGCGTTAAAACAATGATCAGCCACAAATATATATAAACATAGGCATCCAGATATATAAACATAGACACAACTTCAACCAAGAAAATGGGTATAAATTGAGCAATCATTGGAATGACGTGATTAAACAGGTAAAGTTTTAACTGTCTCTTTGAGTTTCATTACGCGGTTGGATGTCTTTGTATTGACAGGCTGGGTGTCCACCGCCCCAGCCCCTGTGGTTGGACCATCTCTAGCTTCACCCACCTACCTTGATGCACCCATCTCAGGCCTATAGAAGACCTTGTCTCAGCAGCTTTCTCTCACCTGAAGACGATTGCTTCTGTTGCGATCGAAACGTCGTGATCTATTATTTTCCATTTACGTGACTTGACCGAAAGACCCAAAGAGTATGAATTCCTGCTGTCACGAAAGCTTTAAATCAATATTTACTTGGGGGATCTTTGTCTTTGTGTTGACAGAAGCGGAGGAGGAATGGAGCGAGGACCCTGTCTCGACACCGCTGAGCGCTGACTCGATTGTGATAGGAGGTACCGACCCGCAGCAGCATTCTGTATCTCACTCCACCCGGATTGGTCACAGTTTTAGCAACCACTAGACACGTGTCAGCACCTGTTCATTTCATAGCTCACCCAGTAGTGGCAGAGACACCGCTGCCACATTAAATTGTCTCGTTAATCTGTGAAGGTCCACAGAGGCTAGTCACATTGCACCATACCGATTCAAGAGTAATCATTTCTGATTGTGCGCATTTTTCTTTCCACAAACCGACGACATCCCTGTACGCATCTCAACTACTGGAAATCCGTGGAAAAGAGCTTTATAGCTCATCGGATTCCTAAATATTCTGATTCTGATAGAAGCCTTCAACTCGTGCGTGCTTTTAAACTTCAGACATCATTCAGGTTCACGTTTATTTTGTTTAACTAGGTGAGAACTTATGAGATCAGGACAACCTCATTTGTGAGAGTGGCCAGGGTCACCAATATGACAAAAGCAAATTAATATAGAGTGAAGCAGAGAAATGAAGCAAATAGAATACGGAACATTTAAAAAGCATGTGCATGAATTTACAGCCTGAAAATGGCCAGGGAAGGGAGTAATTTTTGGGGTTTTAAGATAAGTGAGAAAATGGATGATTACATTTTAACCAATTTTTACATAACTAATATAGAACAAAGGTTCGCTTTCTTCTATCAACACTTTGTGGGAGTAATTAGAAGAATGTACCGTATAATGTTGTGATACTGCGCTGTCAGTGGTGCACATTTTAAATTTTGGTTATATTACTGTCACCATGCTTTTGGTTTTTACTTTTAATCTCTGCCGTACATTGTCAAGAACTTGCACGTTTCACACATATGCAATCCCTGACGGAAAATCCCATTGAAACAGTAGATCAACGGCGCATTTCCATGCGCAGCATAATCCAGCGAGGTGCCAAATGCTTGTACATCCAACTGCTGCTGGCAGCAGCTTTTCCATTATTGATGGACTCACCTCCAGAATTGCCTGCAGGGGAAGCAGTAGAAGCAGTTAAAGATTTGCTCTAAGCTTACTAATTGACGGGCTTTTTGATTGCTGCAGCAATTGACATCCATATTGCATGTTCCGTAAAGTACGTTGTCGCACGTGCTCTGACGCGATGCCAATCTGTTAAACACGCTTCGCCGTGACAGCCGTCGGTGAGTTCGCTGTCTTTTTCGCGTGGTTTCACAAGTACAAAATCATTTATTTTTGGCCTTGAGTGTTCACGCTTTTGCTATGTATGTGTATACAGTGAGGGGAAAAAAGTATTTGATCCCCTGCCGATTTTGTACGTTTTCCCGCTGACAAAGAAATGATCGGTCTATAATTTTAATGGTAGGTTTATTTGAACAGTGAGAGACAGAATAACAACACACAAATCCAGAAAAACGCATGTCAAAAATGTTATAAATTGATTTGCATTTTAATGAGGGAAATAAGTATTTCACCCCCTCTCAATCAGAAAGATTTCTGGCTCCCAGGTGTCTTTTATACAGGTAAGGAGCTAAGATTAGGAGCACACTCTTAAAGGGAGTGCTCCTAATCTCAGCTTGTTACCTGTATAAAAGACACCTGTCCACAGAAGCAATCAATCAATTAGATTCCAAACTCTCCACCATGGCCAAGACCAAAGAGCTCTCCAAGGATGTCAGGGACAAGATTGTAGACCTACACCAGGCTGGAATGGGCTACAAGACCATTGCCAAGCAGCTTGGTGAAAAGGTGACAACAGTTGGTGCAATTATTCGCAAATGGAAGAAACACAGAAGAACTGTCAATCTCCCTCGGCCTGGGGCTCCATGCAAGATCTTACCTCGTGGAGTTGCAATGATCAGGAGAACGGTGAGGAATCAGCCCAGAACTACACTGGAGGATCTTGTCAATGATCTCAAGGCAGCTGGGACCATGGTCACCAAGAAAACAATTGGTAACACACTACCCCGTGAAGGACTGTAATCCTGCAACGCCCGCAAGGTCCCCCTGCTCAAGAAAGCACATATACATGCCCGTCTGAAGTTTGCCAATGAACATCTGAATGATTCAGAGGACAACTGGGTGAAAGTGTTGTGGTCAGATGAGACCAAAATGGAGCTCTTTGGCATCAACTCAACTCGCCGTGTTTGGAGGAGGAGGAATGCTGCCTATGACCCCAAGAACACCATCCCCACCGTCAAACATGGAGGTAGAAACATTATGCTTTGGGGGTGTTTTTCTGCTAAGGGGACAGGACAACTTGACCGCATCAAAGGGACGATGGACGGGGCCATGTACCGTCAAATCTTGGGTGAGAACCTCCTTCCCTCAGCCAGGGCATTGAAAATGCGTCATGGATGGGTATTCCAGCATGACAATGACCCAAAACGCACGGCCAAGGCAACAAAGGAGTGGCTCAAGAAGAAGCACACTAGGGTCCTGGAGTAGACTAGCCAGTCTCCAGACCTTAATCCCATAGAAAATCTGTGGAGGGAGCTGAAGGTTCGAGTTGCCAAACGTCAGCCTCGAAACCTTAATGATTTGGAGAATATCTGCAAAGAGGAGTGGGACAAAATCCCTCCTGAGATTTGTGCAAACCTGGTGGCCAACTACAAGAAACGTCTGACCTCTGTGATTGCCAACAAGGGTTTTGCCACCAAGTACTAAGTCATTTTTTGCAGAGGAGTCAAATACTTATTTCCCTCATTAAAATGCAAATCAATTTATAACATTTTTGACATGCGTTTTTCTGGATTTTTGTTGTTGTTATTCTGTCTCTCACTGTTCAAATAAACCTACCATTAAAATTATAGACTGACCATTTCTTTGTCAGTGGGCAAACGTACAAAATCAGCAGGGGATCAAATACTTTTTCCTCACTGTATATATAGTGTTTACTCATTAATTTCATTATTAATGCCGGCAATTCTCTCAGACGTTATGCGTTTGTTTGTTGCTGATTCATTTCATTGATTCATATACTGTACGTTTTTCCATGTTGGGAAAACTAGTGTAAATAATTAAATTCTGTCAGGTAAGTTTTGCAAACATCAAACATTTTTGCGAGGGAAGTCTTCCAAAGAGGCTAAACACAGATGCTAAAACCATAAAGCAGCAAAAGTAGTTTATTATTCTTAAAGTTATGACATTTTATGAAAAGTTATACAATACAGATTTCTCAGGAAATGTATCATGAATATGTTTGGTAAAGTATTATAACCTAAAATATCTACAATATGCTTGGATGGAGCTGTGGCTCAGAAATTTGCAAAGTGCGCTACGAACCTGGCAAGCTCAGTTCGATTCCTGGACATGGCAAACGTCAGTGGTGAATCAGTCCTAGGTCTCCCCCTTCAAGCTGCACTAAGAGAGTATGAATTTTGATTTAAAGCTTTCGTGACTGCAGTAATTCATATTCTTAGCTCTTTCGGTAAAGTCACGTTGACTTTACCGAAAGAGCTAAGAATATATAAGAGAGTATGGTCAAACAATGCCCATGACTGGCGTAGCATGGGGAGGCCTTCATCCATAATTAACAGTGGACAATCGTATACAGGCCATTTTAAGATGACCACAGGGCTATAGATTCCTGCTGTATTTCCTAAAAATTGTTGATTAAATTTTGCATATTGAAATTGAACAGAGTAAATACAATTTACATCTATACGTCGATGGGGATAAGTGATGTAACATTTTATAATTTTTATACAGTACGTGAAAATATTCAATATCTACATTTCTTAATAAGCGCATATAACTACAAAAGGTAGAGATATATTTGGTTTTCCTTTCACAAAGCCCTGCTGAATGATATCAGTGAAAAAAGCTGAATAATGATATTATCGAATTTGAATTTGTACTTGTAGACAGACTGGCATGCTCTCACGCAAGCCATTACCCCGAGCAACGATGTCATTGTGGCATGTGGCGAGTTTTATTGTGTTGGCTGCTGATGCATCTGTTCGGTTCGCATGGTGAGCTGTGAACTTACCTCGAACCACTTAAATGCGGCAAAGGAAAATGTACGATGCAACCTAATGGAACTCGCAATGGGTTTCCATTTTATGTTTCTTTCCAGCTGACTTCTTGTAAAGGGGGACAGCCTTGGCCAAGGCACTACCCTTTGTATGAACAAATGTAGCCTTTTGGCTGACCGGAGGTGGTCTCAGGCTTCACAGTGGCCCTGTTTACAAGTGGTATAATTGGGCCTTTTATATAAATGGTGTAATAATGCTGATACTGTATGAGCAAGAAAAGTGTATTCTACAACGACATTTTCTAAAGGGTCTTTTCACACAACCTTTCATGCTTCACCCCATGGTATTGATGTGTAGAGCATGCTCACGTGTGTGTGTGCGCATGCGTGACCTGGGGAGCGGTGATGTCGTGGTTAGTGCACCGTGCTACGATTCTGGCGACCTGAATTTTATTCCTGACCAAGGCCGACATCAGTGGCGAATAATTTAACTGGTACTAGCTCAACTCAGCCTCAAATGAGTAACTTCTGCTGTGTAGAAACATCAGCATTGTGGACCCAAAGATGGCCATGCATTGTGCTGGCCACACCATTCCCTCATGCGGTGTGCAGGCCTTCATAGTTGCTCGCCAACAGCACTCGCTTCAACAGTCTATGTGGTTATACAGGGGTTTTAGTTTTTTGTTTCGTGTGTGGAGTCTGTGTATTTTACTTGTGAGAACTACCTGTTTCTGACTGGTCGTGCTCACTCTGTGCATTGGGGGTGGTCCAGGCAGAGGAAGCCTCCAGGTAGTTTTATTTCGTTCACCAAGCCGAAGGGGAATTCTCCATTCCATAGAAAACATGAGTAGCTTCGAAAGCGAATTAAGTAGTCTTTAAAAACTGCAGATAATCCCTAACCCCTGCTGCCTTGAGCTGTTCGCGCTAATTGTCTGCACGTTGTGCGCTAAACACTTGTGGAGCCCATTAAACGCCTCCCCGTCCCCGCTGCTTTGCTGCGAGCAGGAGCGATCACAGCGTCGTCCTTTGTCATCCTGGCCGTGCTGGTGCTCATCACGCGCTACGTGCTGCGGCACAAGGGCACGTACCACACGCACGAAGTGAAGGGCTCCGACGCGGGTGGAAAAGCGGACGCCATCAGCCCCTTGCCGCCGCCGCCGCCACCGCCGCTGCCGCCAGTGCGTACTGACGAGAGCCCTCGCGAGTGGTTTATCTGAGACGGCAGCACCTGCGGTTTGTGTGCAAACGTAATGTGAAATTGCAGATGTTTGTTGTGCGGTCCGTTTGTGTTCAAATTGTTTTACGTATTTATTTATCATTATTGACTCTTAAGGGATGATTTGAATAAAAAAAAGAAATTGCTGTAAATTACATTTTAGAGCGGGAATAGAAAATTGGCTCTGGATGTTTGCGTGAAGCGTTTAAGTGGATTGTAAAACACCACGCTGAAATCCGAAAAATGTATACATATTAAAAAAATCCCCATCAGTCTAGGACTGACTAACCAAAAATAAGCACACGCTTTGGGACTGGAATCCTGATTCAAGTGGTGAATGATGAATGTGGACGATTCATTGGCAGAAATGCGGATGGTAGGGATTGAATGATGTATTGCAGACGTTGTTGCACAAGCTGTACATTTGTGATTAATGTGTTCTTTTTGAAAGTCTTTTTGACACAGTGGGAATTGCACAAGATGTTTTAGTGAAATAAAACGTGAAGATTGTAAAGTATAAGGCAAGTGTAAATCCATCTGACGATGTAATCTGTCTATTAGCATTAACTTCCGTGGCATTTGGGACATGAGCATCTGTATCACGTGATTTCTGTTGATCTCGTTTGGCCTCGTGCAGCGGCACAGGTGGCCAAGACGTTCACTGGAATCCCTGTATAAACCTCTCTCTGCAGATGGTTCCCACATCCCAAGGAGGTTTTACGAAAGTGATGAATTGGAAGCTCCTGCAAGGGGCAGTCACTGATTTAACTATATTTTTAAATATATGCGAACTTAGCTGTAAGGGTATATGCGTGGTTCACATGATCAAGTTTGTGCTGTGATGTGTGTGAATCATTTGAAAAACCTTCACGATCAAATTTGCACTCAGTTGGCCAAATACAACCTGTTTTGATTCTGAACGGCAATGATAAGCAGGATGATGATAAACTTTCGTGAACTTTTATTAATAGCAAATTAATATTCAATATAATGTGTACGTGAAATTGTATTAAAATGTATTTACCACAATGCAATTTCAAACATAATTTAATTTAGCGCTAATAATTTATCACCTTCAGGATGACAAAGCGTTCCATTGCCGAGCTTGTTCTTTTGACATTCCCAATTAGTTTATTTTGGCTTAGATCGTGTAAGTATAATGTCAAATTTGACATTCCCATTGTCATTTGCAAACATTGCGTAATGAAATTGTCCAGTAATGCAGCCGTTGCGGAGGAGGGTGCAGACTCGGTCATGTTGCATATGTTCATAAAAAGTTGTCAGTGCGCTTCTCACACCCGCACGTCGCATCACGCCCTCAGAGGCACCAGTGTGCAGCGAGGCAGCTGCTGTTCGGTCACAATAGTGTGTGGTTTTACGCCACGTCGGTATTTGCTTGTCGGCGCTTGACTGTGGAGGCCACTTGTTTTCTCACAGAAAGTCTGCATGCTCTGTCAAAACCTGCCACATGAATGGTGGCTGGCAGGGATGGGCTCGTGGTTCCTTTACCTCAGCCCTGCAGAGCTTTAAATCCGTTTTTGCATATACGGCCATTATGACGAATATATAACACGACGTGGCCACTGTAAAGCTCAGTCATGTCTGTTTCCACTGCTAGGTTACGTCCTCTCAATGTCACCACCTCCTTTCCAACAGGAGGAAACACACATTTTGCTTTCTTAAGTATTTATTGTTACGAGAGCATTTTGTTTTTAGTCACGTGCAGTATCTCCTGATTGGCTACTTTTAAGACCGAACAAGGTAATTAACTTTTGAGTGCAATTTATCTGTGTTTAACATCATAAACTAAACTTTTACGTACTGCATAATGCATATATTGTAAACGGCTGTTACAAGCACATTAGAAAATTATTGTCTGTTGTATATATATTTTAAAAAACGTTCCTAAATTGTGCGTACAACGTTGTCTTCTTTTCCGCCCTTTATGAGAGCAATGTGTGCCTCCATATCACCAATGAGCACACGTCGCCACAATGCAGGCAGCAGTGTCCTGGTGGATTGACACGTAAATGCAAGGATTATTGTGAAGGTGGTTGGTATGTGGAGGCATTTCAAATCCCAAAACTGCTCAGCGATGATGGCCATTACCAAGGTGTATTTTCTGCTGTACAGTACTGGTATATTGGACATTAAGGACTTGATGAAATATTCTGCATGAGTAGGCCATAGAGTGCCAATGTCTTATGCCAAAATGTATCAGTTTGTTTAAATGTACTGACGATGATACATTTGGATGTAAAAACCTCAGTCTGGACCCCCACGCTTCAATTAAATACAGTATAGTATGCGTGCATATGTTATGTTATTCGAGTAATTTGCTTCATTTATGACCATTCTTGTTTCAGGAAATCTGTTATAACGTTTGAATAGTAGTCTCATATGACGGCAGCAATCAATACTGTTAGGCCAAGGGATGTGTATTTTTAACTTGCCTAATAGAATGTTCCAACGTGATTCATGTGCACATATTATTTTGGTTTGACAACTCGTCATGTTAGAAATAAAGGTATTTTTATTTTAATTATGTTTAAATAATGTGGAAAGGATGTAATTAGCAGGTGCTCGTGTGCTGTGCCGAGAGTGAGATTGTGATCGGGAAATGCGGCTCCCTGTTGCATCAATGCTACTTTTTGATGTGTTGGCAGAAGACAAAATCTGCTAAAAGCACATTGCTGTATTTGCTGTTTCAGCCTGGAGTAAACACACGCTGGTATTTCGTTGTCACGGTGTGGTTCAACCTGCCAGGTAAAGGCAGCCGTGTCGGCGTTAGCTGTCGGCGCGTTGTTTTAGGAAATGGCAAACTCCACCTCCGATTTCACAGTTGTAGATGACATGCTGGTGGTGTAATTTAGAATTTCCATTGTAAAGATTATGTATTATGCATTGTTGCTGGACCACTGCCAGGCCAGTTCTGCTAGGAAGCCTGTGTAGATATTGCTGTTTCTCTCACTGTGGAGCCTTGAAGGCTGTAATTGGTCGGTGACGTTCAAAGAGTTGCTTGATACAAAACCATTTGACTCGATTGAAAACGTGACCGCTAACCCCATCTCTCACACAACATCTCTGTGAAGCTGCTCAAAAACGCCAGCTTTCTTTTTTTAAGCCACACAGGATGGTATTTCAACCCAACAGAATTGTGTTACGTTCTCCCCTCCACCCCCACATAATATCGTACTTAGGCACCCATGTTATGCAATATTCACAAGTTTTTATTACGGGATTCTTTGCTTTTCGCTGGCACTAAAATGTGCTCGATGAGTAATCAACTTGCAGTGCGATGCCAATTAATGATCACTATGTGCTAGTGTTGTTGGTTAACTTAGTATGTTGGACGCCTTTTTTGGTATTCGTACTCAGCTTTTCCACACTTTGCAGTGTGCTCATGCTCCAAGCGCCGTCTGTAAGGATGGACTAAGTATGACTGCAAGTGGATTTGGTATTATTCTTATTCACTGTAAAATATTCAGTGTTTTGAGTAAAATCACAAGGACAATGAGAGAGACACTGCACATTGTTGTGCTTAAACAGTGATTGAATATGCATACACTGCAGCGCGTGCTTTGTACTCTGGGGGTGGGAACGCTTAAGTAAAAAAAATGGCTTAAAAAAACGGGGTCAGGTTCATGCATTTGTACATCATTCCACAATATTTCTGGCGGAATGATGGTTAATTTCGCGTTAAATTGGAAGAACAAAAAACACATTTTCACTGTATTATCTTGCTGATTACAATCAAATACACAATACCATGCTGCCACGTTTGTGGAATGGAGTAAGTTGGTCGGATTTAGGGCGCAAATATGCAAACTTCAAGCAAACAAGCGGAATGGTGGCAGTGACCATTTGAAGGTGTGGCTTGCGGGCCTCGAGGCTCATTTTGCATGCGTTCACGCGCATGCTTGTAGACTCCATTCAACTGCATTTGTACAGAAATTCTTTTTCAGGTTTTTGCTTTTCTAATCTCAATGCTAATGGAGGCTCATGATATGAACATGGCTGATGATATGGACGAAGACGTGTGATGAAGATCGATGATACTGCTGCTGATATTGATGATGCCAAGGAAGACAATGGTGATAAATGGGTGATTCTGCAGATGATGTTGCTGTTCACCTGCTGCTGTTGATTATTGCCTTTGTTGCTGATGGTGTGATTTAGATCAAGTTTATGCAGAAGAGGCCGCCCTCCAAAAAATATCACACCGAGTCCTAAGACTCGTGTTTAATAGTGGCACCCATGATGGTGACACACCCAGACAAAGCCCATGCTTAGAAGCGATAACACTCAAATTTCCACACAGTTGAAAGAATCCCGTTGCTGTACTGTCTTTTCCTGGCCACCTTGCATCCCGACAGGTTTGCAAGTTTCATTCATCTCCACGTGATTCACCCACCCGTGCCTCCCAAGCAGACTGTATGCGTCTATGCGCAAACCGTGCAGCGAATGTTGAGTCGATGTAGGACAAACTCAGAATAGTGCTGTTAGCGAGTAGCACCTTTCACCGCATGCATTGTGGCTATTGATATATTGAGGGGGGGGGGGGTTGTTTATAACAAACTCGAAAAACATGGCTCTTGTTATTTCGGTTGTCGATCCCTGCCCGAGTGGCAATGTTTTACACACTGCACCAGGTACTCATTTGGCGATGAGTCGCCACTGGCCTTGGCCATGAGCGAGACTCGACCTCGGGTCGCCGGGTTCGTAGCTCAGCGCACAAACCACTGCACCACCGCTCCCCACATATAGACTAAAGTCAAAGATACCACATACAGCGTTTAACAGACTGTTGGGGCAAGGGCTGTTAGCGAGCACCTATGACGGCTGGGGCGACACATGAGGGGTGCGTGGCCAGCACGCCACACCAGGTACTCATTTGAGGCTGAATCGACTCAGGAGAGGCTCAGATAATCGTCACTGGTGTTGGCTGTGAGTGGGAATCCAACTCGGTTCGCCGGGTTCGTAGTGCAGCGCGCTAACCACTGCGCCACCGCTCCCCACCACATGCTTAGAGGGGATATATACAGACACATACACACAGTAGCCATGTACGTGTATTCTCTTAGATCTGAAACTAGGACAATCCGAAAATTATTGTAAAATTCAAATGATTCGAAAGTCCGAAAAAAATGCAATATTGTCCATAAATATCGTAAAATCCGATTTTTACAAATCCAAAACTCATCCCTGACACGTACTCCGATTCCCAATGTGACCCGATAGGCTATTTACACGAGTCTCAGGGGTGAATGGGAGGAGGAGAGAAGCGTGACCTTAAACATCCAGCAAGTTCCATTCCCCCCCACGACTCGCATCAGTCAGTGGCGAGTGATATCTGAAACAGTCCTGACCACCCACCCCTTCATCAACGCACACTGACCAGTTTGGTCAAGTATGATCAAACAACCTTCATGCTATACACGAAGTCCTTCATCCAGCAGTGAATTAGCAAATGTCTGTAAGTGATCCTTATAAATCTGAATGATGGCTTCAAGGGAAGCCAGCCAGGGTAAGCAGCCAGTCTGCGGTTTAACTTGCAACACTTTCTCGGCGTCCCTCATCCACTTGTGCTGTCTTAGTTGCCTTTAATCCCGGTCTTTGATCTTCGAGGGCAAATGCACGGATCTGTGATGCAATTGTTCCTTGCATAACCCGACGATGCACATTTGATGTTGGGCTACAGCGCACATCAGTGGCACCTGTTCTGAGCCTCCTTCAGCCTTAAGTGACTGGTGTGCCGTCGTGCGGAGCTTGCGAGGTAGGGGTTGGTGGATCACCCCGGACGAGGGTTGACGTGCGCTGGCCAAATCATCAGCAGGTCCAATAGCATCGTCAGGATCGTTATATTGATCATCATTGATCTTGCTCATCTCTCACCGTGAATGTTGTCACGCGTCGTCTTTATCGCGTTTGCCCCTTGTTGTTGCAGAGGTTCACGGTTCCATTCCAACGGCCAACCCGAATTGTTGCTGTGGGCATAATAACGAGTGATGTGACTCGTGCACGACGTTAAAGGTCCCCTGACGTCATTCGCAAGAAGAGAAGACCGAATTTCGAAAATTACACGCAAATTTCCCACTTGAAATTCTACATAGCAATCATCAACCCCCCTACTGGCAGTCTAATGTCCATTTGCAGGCTATGGATCTGAGTCACCTCGTGCCCAGAGGGCAACTGCTGCTGGGGGTGTCCTTTCAAATTGTTTGAGATGGGATGAGAGATATATATGCACGCTGAGACGTCCTGACGTATACGACGTCACTATCAAAAACAAATCATTACCATTAATCTTCAACAGTGTGTCTTCATCATATTCACGGTTACTGTTTTGCGCCTCGGTGCAGGCTGCAGCAAGCCTCACGCAATTGGCATGCGTGTGTGCGCGTGTGTGTGCTCGTGCGTGGGATCTGAACTGAGTCCGAGTGGCCGGCTTGGTCCGTCGGTGGAGCGAGGTGGACGGCGTGGGTAACATCTGCCCACGGGCCTGGGATTCTACTCGTCCCTTGCCCGTTGGGCTCCAGCACTCCTTGTTGACTTGGGGGGGGAGGGGGGTGGGACTCTTCGAATCCATTTTGCGCGTGGTGAAACGGTTCAACGGCTTCTACATTAACTTGGCGAGATCGATTTTGTATATTTTCCGGAATTCTGCACGTGTGGAAACAAACTCTCAACGAATCGAGCCAAGGGACATATCTCATTCGCCGATTGTATTGTTGTGAGTCGTTTTGGGAGTATACATTGGAATGCGTGAACTAGCATCAAGGATTCTCAAATACCAGACTTTACAATGTTACCGTCAACTAATGCAGACAATGCATCGCTACATAACTTATATTCGCAATGAAAAAAACTGCTTTTGGCACTGAATGTCGAGAACCGCTGCTGCATTGCCACGGATGGAAATGGACCATAAACAGGTCACTTTTTGTTTATGGGCGACAGGGGCACGCTGTGGTAACACTTGCGTCTCATAGGAACAAAAACCTGGTTATTTAATTCCCGACTCGGGAGGTTTTTTTTGCGTGGGTTATCTGCCGTTCTACATTTCCTCCCATAGCTTAAAAAAAAGACTCGTGAAAATGGATATTCCCCTTTTTTCTGGCAACAAAACAGGTGTTAAGATCTTCATTTGAAGCTTTCGTGACTGCAGGAATCCATACTCTTTGGTTGTTTCGGTAAAGTCACGTAGGTAGAAAAATAATAATAATAATAGATCACGACGTTTCAATCGCAACACAAGCAACCGTCATCAGATGAGACCAACACAGCAGGGGAAATGCTGACGAAGGAGAAAAAGTTGCTGCAACAAAAGGTTATATAAGGTAGGAGGAAAGCTGCTGATGCAGGCTGCTTCTAAAGGGTAGAAATGGATGTTAAGATGTTAAAACACCATAAGGAATCATGTTTGCATTAACCACAATACTTGTGGTCAGGTAGCAACCAAAAAAAATACTCTGAAAGTATATGCATTGTCGAAACGTCGTGAGAATTTTTTATTGTTTTATATATATTTTGTTATTTTGTTGTTTCTCTTCAACGTGACTTTACCGAAAAAACTAAGAATATATAGGTGTTAAGATGTCAAAACACCAAACTGAAACCTTTTACAAGGAATCATGTCTGCATTAACCACAATACTTGTGGTCAAAATGCAAACAAAAAAAACATACTCTGATAGTATATGCATTGTCTTTGAAACTTATTGGTCCGCACGAGAGACAGCTTTCTTTCGAGCCTAGTCTCAAAAACCTATTTTCATATTTTGGTACTGGCAAAGGAGGTCCCATAATGTTACTGGTATTGACCAAACATCCCCAATGCATAAAAATGATTTGCTAATTACTTAATTTGCACGAAATGTAGTAACATCGCCCCCTACTGCTAAAACTGGGCAGGACACTTAAAAAAATATTTTTCTGGGGACACAATTGTAACAATAAAAAAATAGCCTGCAGCCAAATTATTTTCCTTCGTTGACCCATAGCGGGAGGTTTAAAACAAAAATCGAATCAACGTCATACACCATGTCATGCAAATTGCATCTCACAATTACCGAGGAACCACAGACAAGCCGGAAAGCTGCCAAGCAGTGAGTTCTCTATATATGGAGATGTTTTCAGCCAAATAGTGAACGTTTATACCTGTGGGAGGAAACTGGAGTACCCAGAGAAGGCCCACGCATGCGAGGGGGCAACACTCTATCCCATACAAAATGTTTAGATAATATAAATTCACACATTGCTGTACTGCATTCTGTTGGCGAGACATGGTCTGGCACCTCGATCATGTAGGGCTGAACGATTTGGGGAAAATATCTAATTGTGATTTTTCTGACAGATATTGCGATTGCAATTTGATTTGCGATTAAAGAAATTAAAGTCAAGCTTCAGTTCAATATTCACTGTGTAATAGATTTAAAACATGTGATGGAGCATTACCACACTATACCACCAATATGAACTGCTCTGTATATTCTAATGCAAGGATGAAAACTTAAAAGATATGAATTGCTTCCAACATGTATTTATATAAAAAAATGTTAATTGGAATGTGAACAATCAAACATAGAACAATTGTTAAGTTAAATAAAGTTATACTAATAATACATAATAAACCAATTCCAATAAGACAGTAATAGGACTTTTGAAATCGTAAATAATCGCAGCCTTTGCGATTTGCTAATCACATTGTTTCAAATTGCTGTTTCGATTTTAAATCGATTAATCGTTCAGCCCTACCTCGATGGCCACGGGAAAGGTGTCTCACAACATTTGTCATCCACCAACCCTCGCCTCCACGGTGCTGGATTACAAGCGTGCATTGCCACCACCACTCGGCTTTTACGTCGGAGATATAAAAGTTACGTACGGTGCGAAAGAAGTTCAACATACGTACATTGTAACATGAACTTTTCACAACCAGTAACTTCCCCAGTTATCATTGCAAACATTTCAATTGCAGCCGTAGTCCTGGACTTCAAGAAAACTCTTAAGTTGAAGAATTACATAAAAATATATACTTTTCGGGGTTGACCTCAAGCGTGTACCTCTACAAACACTAAACAAATATTAACCGTGTTCATGAACAAAACGCAGCAATTAAACAAATGTGATCTTAACGGATTAATAACAATACCTTTCACAGTCATTGACACTGCTTTAAATTGTAAAAGATATAGCAGGCGACGTTTCGGGACTTGGCCCTTCTTCAGAGCATATCATTCTTCCACAGCACAATTTAGGAGTAGCATATCATGGAGAGCTCACTTGGGATGCCGTGATCTCCGACGTCTTGAAGAAACGACTGAGCACACGCAGATAGTTTCATAGTTTCATTTCATAGTTTCATTTATTTGGTATAGCCCTGTGAGCCATTCGGCTCTTGAATCGGGTGCAACCGCAACAAACAAAAAAACATGAACAAGAAAACATCTCAAAGTGATAGTCGACAAGCACGTGCTATATTTAGGGCCATTGCCCGATACGTCGCCTATTGCACCTTTGATCTTTGACAGCAGTTTTAACGACAGCGGTGTTAATGACGAATCTGTTGAGGTTTTTGTTTGGTCATTAAAAACGTTCCATGTTTATAGAATTTTATAATGTATGGACCGACTCGTGCAGGTTTTTTTTTCCTGTGGACGTCGGGGTGCATTGTCCAGGCGAGCAGCGCCACCTTATGGCTTGCGGAATCACCATCCACGGTCAATCCACCGCTGGTTACAAAAGGCCTTGCCAAAAGCACCTGGACACGGGATGAGTTCATTGCTCGATCTCAGAGGTTTCCGAACTCTCAAATTCATCCATTCCTTGGCTGCCACTCTGTCATTATGTTTGACAATCGGTCCTCATCCCTTCCAGCGGTGTGTTATGCCCAGGCCCACTTCCTGTTTCAACAGTTTGAATATGCCGTTAACATGAGTATGTTCTGTCATCCACGTATTCCTCTTTTGGTCTATTATAAGAGTTCCAAAACTGTAGCACTACGATTTTGTTTCGGAACCTTTTTGCCATAGGACGTAATTCGCACGAATTCAAAACCGTCTTCTTTAGGCACAGCTAATTTTATGAGTGTAACATCGGTGATGTGCTGGAGAAGGCTTAAGTATGCAGTGTCCATTACCCAGGTGATATGTTCACAAGTGCACCGATTTAACGATAATGCATATTCCGTGTCAACGACTCGGTATCGATTCACCATGAATGTAAGTCGGATTGGCAATGTATGCATACGTGCTCATCAATGGACCATACTTTTGATATTCTAAGCATGTATAGCCTGCGTAGCATGCATTCTTGCTGATAGAGAAACGTTGTAACAAAGCAAAATTAACCACAAATCTAATTTTAAAGGGAGTTGTATTGAAGTTAATATAGAAAAAATAGCAATGGGAAAACAAAACGTAAACACCGTTAGAATGTGGTCATATAATGGCTAGAAGGCACTAGGCAGTGTTCACGTTATTTAAAATATCAACACCAATATTGGACTGGTCTAAGATTAAATGCACTGTACAAATATTCTGCCTTGGAATAGACTTAAGTAGCCTTCAGCACGTAGTTATTGATGTAGCATAGTGCAGTATATATCATTCACTTGACATGACTTTCCATAAAGGAATGGGCCGTGGACTTGTCTCCACAGCAAAATCTCTTAAACGTGTGGCATGACTGGCAGTTCAAATATATTTAATATAATTACTTAACTGTTCTGTTACTAGAAAAATGCTCACATTGACTTTGAGATTTTACAAATTGTTTATTTTTCCATTTGTAGTGCCCTACAGGGTCATCTCCCATCAAAATGAGATGCAAAAGTGTCTGGTTTTATTAAGGGTCTTACATTCAGTATTTATTCCATGTTAAGAAATGATACTGCTTACGCTCACTTCCATCCACGTAAATATGAATATGTAAACACGACTATTAAGTAAATTTTATATGTTGATACATAGGTTTCCAAACCAATGACACTTGATTTTAAGCTAGGCGACGCAATGTGACATTTGAACCCTTCACACAACCAAACTGTCACGTGCACCAGGAAGTAGAAAAAAGCTCGTAACAAAAATTAAGCACTTGGATTGTTGCGAAAAATGTAGCAATGCGACAAGTCGTGGGAAGGGATGATGGCTAATGGGTGATGAAACCAAGTGGGGAAAAGGGGGGGGGGGGTCACGTGAACCAGGTCATGCACAAGAGGTAGGTTGTTCCATTGCAGGAACATAACGATGATTATAAAAAGGTATCTGGCAGTGGTTATAACATGGCTGAATAAGCATTCTAGCGAGCCAACAATTTTTGCGTTCTCGAGAATTAGACAATTAAATATTGTCAGCAAGTTACATTGCCCACGAACGCTTCCCTGTAAGTGCATGTTGGCTCTGCCCACTACATGACGTTTAATTTAAAATGTCACGCCTCCACTCTACAGGTTGTCAAGCCAAGCACAAGTGGCATATACAAAATTAGCTTCTCTTATTCTCCTTTTCATGCAACACTAGGAAGGTGGCAATTGGCGCCCTAAGATGGTTATTGATACTCAACGTTCCATCAGTCTGCCTCCACGTGGCAAAAAAAATACTGCAATAGCTCCTACAATTCCCAGAGTAAAACTGTAATGAACGTGATTTAAGTAAAGTTAGCTTTCTCACGTTAAAGCCTCGTGCAGTCCATAGACCCATTCATGTTTGGAGTCCCTGGATACAGCAGTGATGACAGCTAGACATGTGACAGCTAAGGCATGACCTGTTTTTGTAAAAAAATCGGTTAGACTAAAAGGGTTTTAAAATTGGCCAATTTGATATTTTAGTTGACACGATGTACAAGCATGTATAAAAGCACTGGGATTTACTATAACAAATTAATGGGGCACAAAAAACACAAGCAGACCATCATTAAATAAAAATGTTTATTTGCAGAAGCACTTTTTGAATGCAGTTCTTTACAACTGTTTCACCTCAATCTTGAGTTCATACATCCAAGTTGGACGTTGCAGTGTTAAACAATCAAATAATTGCAACAATAAGCATAACTGACCAAATAATGCTGCAAACAAAATACCACGGAGAACAGACCGATTTTTGACCAAAGGCCCAGTACAGGAAATAAGACTGCACAGAAATTGCAGCAATTTGTAATTTCCCCACTCCCTCAATTGACCCTACCATAAACATTCCAACCAATACTAAAGCAGAAATCTATTCGATTCCCCCAGTTTTTCCAAGTCCACAGTGGCACTGCTAAAGCTCATCTTTTATTGACAGCTTGGTGGCATGCTTCTCAATGAATTTGCTCAGCGACTCCAGGTCACGTGAACCATCTGCAAACTTTATGGGCCGATCCTTGGCTCCGCTGGGGGAGAAGTATATGGTAGGGAAACCCTCTGCTTTGTAGGAATCGTGAGGGATGTCGTTAACTGTTGCATCCATCTTGGCAATAACGAGTCCTTTGTGACCTTTATACTTCTTCCCTAGATCCTTGTAGATAGGCTCCAAGCTTTTGCAGTGGCCACACCATGGTGCATAGAATTCTATGAGCACATCTTTGCTGTTGTCCAAAACCATCTGCTCAAATGTCCGCCCTACTACCACCTTCACAGGGCCCTTGTTGGACTTGGGCAAGGGTTGGGATTTCACCACTGCCTTCAGCTTGCCTGCGAGCATCATGCAGAACAACAAGACGGTCAAACAAACGTTAGATAGTGCCACGTGTAATTTAACCCCTAGTTTTAGCAGAATCTTTTTTTAAAGCAATGCTAAAACCCAAGAACAAAAGTGCAAATTTAAAAAGTACCTGCACTGCCTCACTCACCTTTCTCAAATGAGATCACAAAGTCGCGCAGTACATCTGCATCAAACTCCTCTGGTGCCATGGCATACTTTTTGCCCGAGGCATCAAGGATTGCAGCATTTACTTCCTCACCACTCTCTGCTAGTCCCAGGTCACTCAGCTCTTTTGAATAGTCGTCTTCACTCGCGATGGCAAAAGTGAATTTGGGAAAGTCCTTTGCCACCTCCAACACCTTGGAACGCCAGAACTGTGTGGCTGAGTGGTCAAAAAGGAGGCATGGTGAAAGGGGGAAAAATCGAAGAGAAAATCCAATGATAACAGTGCAGTGTTAATTCCAGACAGCATTGGTCTTAAAGGAGTCTGCAGTTTCATAAACTGTTATTTAATCTTAGCACAGACCTGTGCGGTAGTCAAAGCTGAAATCCACGCCATAGAAGACAACGACAAGGGGCCGTCTGGAAGCATAACGCTTGGCTTCATTCGAGGGCTTGCGCTGACCCACAAGTGGTACCGAATGCTTTTCCACAAAAGCCTTGAGGTCAGAATCTGTTGAGTCCGCCTATAAAAATATATCACATTTTAGTATTGCAAAATACAACTTCAGTCTCTCAACCATATAGTGAATATCTGTAGTGTGCAATAATAACCACGTGTGGTGCAACTGGTTAAAGGAAACAGACCTGGATGTCAAATGTGAACTGCTTGGGTTCATATTTGGATTGGAAACGCTCAGGATGCAGCACGACCACCTGCCCATCCACAGCTTTGAGATGGTTCTTAATATTTTCTTCAAATGTGTGGTAAAACTTAAATTCCTCTCTGACATTGTTACCTGCAAAGGGCAAGTGTTAAATTTAAGTTGTGAAATTTCCATGCAATCCATTTCCACCAACATACTGGGTTAGATAACAATCTATACATAATTACAAGTTGCCACATGCATAAACTGTAAAGCAGGACTTTGTTGATTAAACCAAAATATGTTTTTTCATGCCCTTTAGGATTTATCTTGACAGAATAAGGGCTCACCGGTTTCTTGGAAGAGCTGAAGAGCAACATCCTGCTCATTCTTGAACACACCCAGAATGACCACATCATCACCATTTTGGACAAAACCATTCAGCTGTTTCATAGACTTGAGCTCCTGGGAAGCAGGGCCTGCTTGCTCAATCATGTGGCTCACAATACCTAGGAACAGGAGAAACGGGCAACTTGGAATCTTTCTTTTGAGTTGGGGGTGGTGCTAGACACAAAAGTAGATGAGCACGGCTGGCGAGGTGCGGTGCAAAATAAGTTCAACATGCATGCATAGTGATGATTTTACCATACATTTTTAGCTCACAACTAGTTTAAGTTTGACCCAGTATGGTCAACTTAGTATGCAAACAAACTTGCAAATTTCTCGGGGATATTCTAATTTCACTGCTTTGTGCACTTCCATCATTACCATATTGCTCCCGGGGCCCATTGTAGTCATACGCTTTGCCCTTCCGGAAGAGCTTGAGTGTGGGGTATCCACTCACGCCAAACCGTTTTCCGAGCTCAGACTCAACCGTGGCATCCACCTTGGCCAAGGGGATTGGTGGCGTGTTCTTTGAGAGCTCTTGTGCTGCCTTTTCATATTCTGGGGCAAGTTTTTTGCAGTGGCCACACCTGATAGACAAGAGACAGAAAATCGTTACTGTTGTTCATGTGAAAACAATCGAGCTGCCATCCTGAGAAATTAAACATTTAATATCCTATATCCCACAATATTAGCTTCTCCAAACATAACAATTCACTGCACAGCATATTGCTTTATTGACTGGGTTGTAAGTGAACCATCATTTCGTGAGCGAATCACGTTATATACTAATTTAATTTAAATAGACTACTTTAACAGCCATGCTTCCATAATAGCAAATTCGCTTAATTTCAAAATCAGATGGCTCATCAACCCTGTTGATATGTTCCCCATTGTTAACGCTTATTTGCACTGAAAGCCACATTCTTACCAGGGGGCATAGAACTCCACCAGGATGATGTCTGCATCGTTCACAATCTCGTCAAAGTTACTCTCCGTCAGAGTCAGCACAGCCTCAGGGGGTGGTTTCCAGTCAGGCGATGCCACTTCTTTCACCTTCGCAATGATGGCTACGAGAGACAAGTCAAGTGTTACGAAAAAAGCCTCGACAAGGGTCAGATGTTTTACTCACTCAATACCCCAACTTCCATAATACATTGGTTTGCCATTCTCCATCGCAAACTTTCCATTTAAAATATCACTTTAAAAAATACTTGCCACAAAAGTTTGACGTTACATTTTCAGCGTCTCATCGTTCACCGATGGCAGTTTACATGCAAAGGAGACAACATGACGAATCAACGTGGTTAAATAGCATTGGGTGCCCCATGTAGCTTCACGAGCACTCACCATCCTGAGTGCGATCCCCGTCGTAGTCTACGGCCTGGCCCTTCTTGAGGATTTTAATGGTGGGATAGCCACTGACGCTGAAGCGCTCTGCCAAGTGCACAGCAACCGTAGCATCCACTTTGGCTACGGGAATGGGGGGATCGTTTTCCGCGAGTTCCTTCGCTATTTTTTCATACTCGGAAGCGAACTCCTTGCAATGGCCACACCTGTATGAGCATATTAACATGGCGTGTCACAATTCAGGAGCGTAATACTATACACACTGCATCAAGCACTGCAGTGATTTTTAACAACTCACCTCTAACCTGGTAGTGGAATGTGCATACTTTGGAATGTTTAAGATAAGGTTGGATATCTACAAATTAATCAAGCCGTGTATACAATAGGTCTTACTGTATTAAGTGTTTATTTATAGTCATGTCTAAAAGCAAAATACTATTCAGCTTCAGGAATCCAACAGGTATGCAAAGTTGATAGAATACACATGTCAATGTAATAACAGCTGCATGCATTTAGTACAATGTTGGGGATACTGACATTTAATAGTGTGACCATTAGGCTTTTAGAGCCAAACAATTAAGATGTTAAGCAGTGACATACCATGGAGCATAGAATTCCAACAACACTGTATCTTTGCCAGCAACAAAAAAGTCAAAATTAAGGTCTTTAAGAATCAAGACTCCATTCTCTTCCTTCACTGCCGTTACATCCTCCTCTCCGTCATCAGTGTCGTCGTCACCATCATCAGCTTTGACTGCTTCGTTTATATCATCTGTTACCAAGACACAGGGAAATCAAGGACTCGCAAAGCAAATAAATCCAAGCTGCAGCACTTGTGTTCAGTGTCGACATCCTGGTTCCGACCTTCAATGAACGTGCCATTTTAAACATGGTGCTTGTTTTCAAGTGTGAAATCGAAATACAAAAATGTAAATAATCACAAGCTGCCGCTGTTCAAACAAACTTGTAAATGTTTACCGAGTTCCTGGCTACTTTAAAACTGAAATACTGCCAACTTTTCAAATTGAATACACCGATATCTCTATATTATTTCGATTTAAAGCTTTCGTGACTGCAGGGATTCATCTTCTTGGTTCTTTCGGTAAAGTCACGTAGAAGGGAAATAATAACGTATAAGGGAAATAATAAAATGTTTTATTATATTATTTCCCTTCTACGTGACTTACCGAAAGAACCAATAAGATCTCTATAATAGTTTTTTTAGGTTAGACCGCATAAATATATAAATCTTTAAAGGTTCTAACAACCCTTACGAGTTGGCTGTGTCGGGTGGTGGCAGGTTTAACGACACGCTTATATATTCACGCGATCTAAACCAAAAAAAAAACCTTTCATGGATATTGGTCGCGAAAGCCCACACGTGTTTAACCGATATCCCTGTTCATGCATGAAAGCCTCAGTCAAGAACTTTGCTTGGGATGTTTGGCCAATACCTTTTCAAAAAGGGGGGGGGGGGGAGAAGAAACATTTGGAGATTACGGGGAATGGGCCCCAAAAAAAGCTCCGTTGACGCAAATCCGCAGACGAATACTCCTTACGCAATTACGTGAAACACAACACTGCATTGGTAATGATGATGTGTGGCAGTCACAATGGACAAGTTGCGAAGTTTGTTGGGCTGTGCCACGCCCTCCCGTGAGCGCAGGGGCCAATGGGAGAGCTCCACAGCGGCCGTCGCATCACAGGGCGCACTCCACCCAAGGGATTTTTTCCGGGCCCCCCCCCCCACCTGAAATTAAATCTCAGCATTTACTCGGCCCCCCACTCACCCGAGACCACAAGCAAACGACGTGAAAATTTCGCACGTCTGTCGATGTTAGGAAGCCACTGGGGGAGCTCGTGCACGAAACACCTCACAGATTGAGAAAACTTAATTTATTTAAGGAACCTGCTTTGTGTGTAGTTTGTAGGCCCTTCCCCCAGCACCTCCAATTAAGCACGTACGGTGCGAAAGAAGTTCAGCGGACATAGATTCATAGCGGTACTTTCACCATATTCCCACTTCTTAAACCCGACGGCCAGCAACGAGACGCACGCACGCACACAGCAGCGAGGGTTGCTGCCCAAGTTTTCTTTCAGAATGAACTTCAAAACTTTGTGGAGACGTTATATAGCCTTGAGTAATACTGTAGTACCAAAATTAACAATACGGAGGGAGAGTGCGATAGGTCAGCCGAGGGGGGGATGTTGTTCCCGGCAAATTGTTCACGGCCACATCCGAACGCTCCAAAGGCAGCAAAATACGAGGGGGGGGGGGGTGGAGGCACCAAAATCCACTGCCGACTCTCTTATTCTCCCCCCCAGCAATGAACCTTGTCAAGTGCGCCCATAGAGGCACACAACGCACACAAGCCGCCCCGTTCCGAGCGTCAAGTGCGCGTGGCTCCCCTACGGCGTTGCAGCAGCCGCTTACTGGCAACCAAAAGACGTCTTCCCTCTGTCGTGATATTCGTTTTAAAAAAAGATCGCCGTACACACACCACACCACAACACGCGCACTGACAATAAATCGCCGAGCGCGGCCCTGGGTGTAGTAGGGTAAATAAACCCACCGTCTTCAGTTCCCGACACGTGCGGCAGCTGCGTCAGTACAGCCAAGGCCATTAGCAGCGACAGCTTCTTCACCTTCATGGCGCTCAAGAGTTCAATTGGCAACGGCGATCTGAAATCTTGGATTCACGTCGAACAACCGCGACAGGCCCTCGACTTCTCCCGCGGAGACCCACGGGGTGCTACGCGCACCTCGAGACCCGCCTTATATATAGCCACGCGCTCGCCGCCACAGCGCACGTGTCCCTCCGCCGAGACGAAATAGCGCCGGCAACTAATTTTGGCACGATTCGTCCACCTCGCGCGCGTGTGACGCGAGTGAGGCGTCGTGCCCGGCAGCGATTGGTGCGATTGCGTGTTTTGTTGTTGCTGTTGTCATTGCTTGTTAGGGACGCGAAGAGCGTTCTGTTTTAAAGTTGCAAAACGGCCCCCCACGGTTAAACTCTTCGCGGAGGGATACGGCGTTGAAGTCACGCGCCGACCAATCGCGAGCTGCCAGGTTCGAGCAGCGCGCGCGTCGCGTGACGTAACGCGTTTCGTGGGAGGGCTCGGCGCCCGATCCAGGAATCATAGCTGGAAGTTAGAATCGATTACTCCGGCCCCGAGACCCAATGAATTCGCGTGGCCCTGTGAATGGTGGCGATTCGTGGGAAGCAGTGGCCACTGCCGACGAGGCGTTACACTGTGAGACGAACGTCCATGGCAAACTGGACTTCCATGGTGAACTTGACTTCCCTGGTCAACTGGACTTCCATGGTAAACTGGACTTCCCTGGTCAATTGCACTCCCATGGCAAATTTGATTTCCGTGGTAAACTCCACTCCCATGGTAAACCGGACATCCATGGTGAACTAGGATTCCCATGGTAATCTGGACTTCCTTGGTCAGCTGGACTCCCATGGTAAATTGGAGTTCCATGGTAAACTGCACTCCCATGATAAACAGGACTTCCATGGTGAACTGGAATTTCCTGGTCAACTCAACTTCCATGGCAAATTAGACTTCCATGATAAACTAGACTCCTATAGTGAACTGGACTTCCAGGGTGAACTTAAATTCCCTGGTCAATTGCAGTCCCATGGTAAATTTGACTTCCATGGTAAACTGCAATCCCATGGTAAAGCGGACTTCCATGGTGAACTGGGATTCCGTGGTCAGCTGGATTCCCACAGCAAACTGAATTCCCATGATAAATGGGAATTCCCTGGTCAACTGGACTCCCATGACAAACTTGACTTCCCTGGTCAATTGCACTCCCATGGTAAAAAGGTTTCCCATAGTGAACTGGACTTCCAGGGTGAACTGGAATTCCCTGGTCAATTGGATTTCCATGGTAAACTGAATTCCCATGGTAAACATTTTAGTTAAGCTATAGGTTTCTAACATTGGAGTCCTCAAAAATCTCCTGGAAGTCTTCAGATAAAATGCATTTCAGTTGCAACATCACATTCACTGCACTATCATCAAAATTAGTTCCTTTCGAAGTTAGTTTGCAAGCTGTTTTTGGAGGGTGACTTCCCTAATTTAATGAAACAATGTATGTTGCAACATTGCATTAATCTCCATGATAACTTACAAATTAAAACTCATACATTATTTAGCAGAATACTGGGAATGAGCTAAGAATAATGTAAGGTTACTTGTAACATTATCACGTTCCATTGACACAATCCCCACAAATGTCATAAAATAAATTCACTTAATTTGTCACTGGGCCTAAAAAAAATTGAGATGCATGCATTTTGTTGCATTTGTTCTCTAACCCATACAGTTATGTGTGTGAATATTTCACTATTCGTATCTATGCTTCTTTGAATACTTTAAAGATTCCATGCTTTCGATCCATGTCATTTTTAAGTAATATGCACTGATTAAAACATTTATATAGGCAGATATGTTGCGCATCATCAAATAAACATTTCCAAAAGGAGTCCACTCTGCTCTCGATAGCCCTGACGTGTATTTCATCGTTTTTATCCCCCGACATATACATCTTCTGTGTTTTCCAGTTATGTCCCTCCAACACTTCTTAACTTTTGCTCAGTTACAAGCGTGAAAATTGGAATGTTATGCGTGTTGAGTTGGCCTTCACTTTCACATGGCTAACAAGATCCACGGGTGTCGCGTCCATGCTGTGTGGCCATTAGGTTGCAATTAAACGATCGTTAGTTTTGCATGTAACTTCCATTAACATCGCTGGCCATACACCTGCAGTTACCATGCAGTGAACGCGCCTGGTTTTATAAAACAGCATTCTAGGCTGACCTCAGTGCTGCAGGTTAATTGCTTCTTGATGCCATCATTGCAGAAGCACTGGTAAAGTCTGCATGAGGTAAAATGGGGAAATTAAATTGTAGGCAATTCAGGCATGACTACATGAGCCACTTAGTTGTAGTAATTTGCAGTGTGACCTATACGATCGCATTGCTTCCCTGGATAATCAGTACAGCGGTTGAGTGCAGACCTCTCTCTGCCTGACACAATATAACGTTCCATGCAGTTTTAACACACGAGGTAGGATTCTGATCACAAAATTCATCCACAATCCCCTGCAACGTCCTCGCGATAATAATGGCTGAACGTAGACAGATTACAGTTTATGCATGTGTGCTCAGAAATGTGTGTGTTCACGTACAGCCAGGGATTAATTTCAGCCGGAGGAATTTAGGGCTGCGTTTCGGGAAAATGTATTTAATGTAATTGTCACGCTCCCTGGAGGGTTGGGGGTTGTGGCGGGTTCTGGTGAAGAGTTGGAAGTATCGAAGCCCTGGATACAGCCCTAATTTCCAACGGTGTACAAATTAGCAGAGATGACCCAGATTGGAGGTGGTTCAGAGCTGTGGCAAGATGGCTGTTGGGAAAGGTGGTTTTGAGGTCACGGGAGGCATTACTCAAGATCAAACTTACTGGAATTATTTACGGAATAATAAAACCCACAAACCACCACCGGAGGGCGTTTCTTGGTACGTGTGCAAGGGGTGTTGACAAAACCAGAATTGAGCGCATCTTTCAACCAATCACCCCATGCCACCTCTTATCTGTGTTTGCTCTGCATAGGTTTACCCGAGTAATGCATATTTGTACTCGTGCGGTAAAGTACTTGGACGAACGAGCTGGAGTCCCGAGCGTGATTTCTCAATCAGACGTTGCCAACAGTGAAAATAATGTGGGAACCACTCACATTCATTCTGGCGGTCGCCAGAACTAATACATTTATATATTCCATCAAGGTCCTTAAGATCTTCTGATCTCCAACTGCTCAGCACTCCCATGTCTAGGCTGTGCTGTTTTGGTGACCGGGCTTTTGTTAGATTGGCACCCAGGCTATGGAACGCCTTGCCAATTGAAAGCAGGCAATCAGAGTCGGTAGATATATTTAAGTCTGCGTTGAAACCCCATCTCTTTAAACTGGCCTTCCCTCTTTAGTTTGGACGGTTGCCCTGGTTGTTTTTGTTTTCTACTTTTCATCCATTGCGCATCGGGATCCTAGGATGGTATGCGCATTATAAATTCGAATCAGTATTACCAAGCAGAGCAAATAGTACGGTGTTGGTTCTGTCTGTGCAACAACATTCATTGTTTATCCAGAAAGCTACGCTGAGTCGTAGAACTCTATTTTCAGGAGGGTCTTGCATTAGGTTTTTACTTTTTTAAGATGTTTCGGCCAATTTATGAATGTTTGTACCCGCGGGAGCAACACTCTATCCGCGTAAAGATGGCAACAGATGGCGATTAGGCCACTTGCTGTACTGCCTTCTCCTTGCGAGCCGGGGTATGGCACTTCAACACCCACGGGAAAGTTGTTGCACAACATTTGTGCTATCCATCAACCCTCGCCTCCACAGCGCTGGATTATAGGCGTTATCTAACGCTGTTAGTCGCACTCGCGAGCCGAGTTCGTATTTTAGGTAAAGATATGTGTTCGTGCAATGAATATTTGGGGTTACTCTTTGGTTCTTTCGGTAAAGTCACGTAGAAATAAAATAAATGAGATAATATAATACATTATGGGGTGCAGGAAAGTGTGTAAAGTAAGCCTAGAAGGTGATAAAACCGCAGCATGTGGATCAGGGGCGGAACCAGGATTTTGACTTTGGGGGGGCTGACTTCAATATTCTGAGATATCCAGTATTTATGTTTTCCAATGGGCGCCACAAATGTATAAACAAATTTTATTGGATTTGAACGCGGAGTTTATTAATAGGTCGGAGCCGCTGATGTGGCTAATAAGTTCGATAAGTTCGAAAGGCTGCCGCTCAAGAAGCCTGCAGGGCAGCACAAGGTGGCAGCCTGCAGGGCAGCACAAGATGGCAGCCTGCAGGGCAGCACACAAGGTGGCAGGCTGCAGGGCAGCACAAGGTGGCAGCCTGCAGGGCAGCACAAGGTGGCAGGCTGCAGCATTTTGCAGCAGCCGGACATCCGGTTATCCCGATTACCGACTTTCCCAAAATTTCAGGGGGGGCTAAGCCCCCCCCAGCCCCCCCCCCCCCTGTGGCTCCGCCCCTGATGTGGATTATGTGAACGGTATAATTGTTTGTCAGATGACGCAGAAAAGCCTTGCCTCACGTGATAAAGTCGCCGCATATAAAACGTCAATCGCAGCCAATACCTGTCCTGTTAGCATACCGATTCTTTGGGTCTTTCGGTAAAGTCACGTAGATAGGTTCAAATAAAATAAAAATAAACTACGACGTTTCGATCGCAACGTGACTTTACCGAAAGACCCAAAGAATATGAATTCCTCCAGTCACGAAAGCTTTAAGTCAAGTGTTAGCATACTTGTTAACCCCTTATCAGTGCCTACCTTATTATAGACCAAGTCAGATTTTATTGGTCACCCTGTGCCCTTAAAAATCTCAACGTTCATCCTACAAAGTCCCATCACGAGAGAAACACATATACATTTTTTGCCCCTATTGAAACGGCTGTACGCCGTATGGACCTGAAAACTCAATTTCCCTGGACACGAATACAGGTAAACCGTATGCGTTGACAGGTATGTGTTAGCTTTCGTTTTGCTATTGCGTGTACCCAAGTGACACACGTTGCAAACACACTGCGCCAAATATACAGTCGTTTAAATGTAGTCACCGTAATGTATGAGAAGAGGTTTTCCCCTTTTGTCTGGCAACAAACAGGTGTTAAGATGTTAAAACACCAAACTGAAATCTTTTTACAAGGAATCATGTCTGCATTAACCACAATACTTGTGGTCAGATTG